AAGTTTATTAGATCTTGGTTTATGAACTTTCTTGCTATGGCCGCGGAGATTATTAGTGCTGAAGGGAGCAAAAAGATAAGACATATTAACACCCAAATCATAATTAAAGATACGAAATGCCAATATAAGGTCACCTCGTGTCCTACGATACGACAAGGGGAAAAGATTTAGGCGTTTTAAACGCTCATCGTAAGGGAGTCTAGAAAGACCCTTCACTAATTCCGTTCCCACACGCTGGACACGCTCAAGTGAGTTAGTATCCTTTACCAGACATGGGCGAGCTGCTTGGATACAGTACTCTAAGTGTGGTCTTACATAGGTAGGATATAAAATTCGAAACGTTTCCTCTTCAAAAGATTTGAACGCTCGGCGAAGTGACCATAACGCACGAAAACCTTTGACAGCGGCTGCTTTGCAATGCGTAGTTGTTTTTAAATCATGACTTAATACTACTCCTAAGTCTTTATGCTCTTGAACGCATGGAAGAGGTTTACCCTAAATAGTGTAACGGTAACTATTACAGTGACCGATGTGCATTAGCACACTCTTCCTAGCATTGATTTCTAAGCCCCACTCTCGAGCCCATCTAACTAAATCGTCTAAGTCAGCTTGAAGATCCAGATGATCAGCCGCACTTTTTATTGTTCTCCAGATTTTTACATCATCTGCAAACAATAATTTCAACGACTTAAGTAACAGCGGTAACTCATTAACGTAGAGAAGGAAGAGCAGGGGGCCTAAGATGGTGCCTTGGGGTACACCCCTTTTGACTGGCTTCCAATCGGATAGCGTTCCGTTAACCCTCACTCTCTGTCTGCGGTCACATAAGAAATTTCCTATCCACGCATGTACAGTACTTATTATTCCGAAGCTCGTGAGCTTCTGCATAAGACCTACGTGTGAAACCTTGTCAAACGCTTTGCTAAAATCTATGAATATCACGTCGACAGACAGACCGTTATCTAGGGCTGCTGTCCAATCCTCCCTCGCAGTAAGCAAGTTAGTCAAGCATGAACGCTTGTTACGAAATCCGTGTTGCCCAGGAGCTAACAGACTGTGTAAATCTATGTGGCTTAGCAACCTAACCCGAATTATCTTTTCAAGTAACTTAACGACTATACTAGTTAGACTAACAGGCCGGTAGTTAGATACTATATGTCTCTGACCGTCCTTGAATATAGGACTGACTATAGCGTCCTTCCAATCTCTAGGGAGTTGAGCGAGTGAAAGGGACATGTTGAAGAGTTTCGCTAGCGGTTTGGAAATAATGTCCGCAAGAGATGACAGCAACTGTGGATGTAACTCTTCAGGGCCCGGTGTCTTACAAGGTTTGAGGTTAGTTATCAACGGAAGGAAAGTTTCCTCAGTCACCTGTACAGATTCCATGGTTGGTATCGTGGTGTGAGTGGGACAAGTATTTGTTACAATAAACGTGGAGAAGACTTCGCTAAAATAGTTTGAAAAAATCTCAGCTTTTGCTCGATCTGATTCAGCTAGCGATTCTGAATTTTCGTGTAACAGTCACGGGGGAATACCATCACTACGTTTCGTCCGCCGTTTAACATACGAAAACAATCGTTTTGGACAAGTACGGCTATCATATACTAACTGTCGTTCGTAAGTGGTACGAGATTTGGCTATGGTTTTCTTACAGATATTACGGAATTTTCGGTACTTACGCTTAAATGGTTCATGACTTGTCAACAAGAATAAGTCCCAGAAATGTTTCCTACGCTTTAACAGCTTCCTGGTTTCCTTATTAATCCATGGAGGGCAATGTGATAGCTTACGTGCTGACCATGGGATATACGGTGACGTTACGAACTCGAATGTAGCCTTAAACTTGTTCCATTCATCTTCGATCAATCCATCCGCGTCGACCGACCAATCAGTCGAGATAGCACAGTTTCTGATCGCCGGAATATTGGCTCACCAGATATTGGGACGGGGTGGAGCAGATACGAATTGTATACCATGTGTCCTAAACTTAAAGTGAATTACAACGTGATCACTGTTCACTAGTGGGGGAACGTGCTGACTATCAAGGACATCCTCACATTGGTGGGTGAGGGCGAGGTCCAGCAGTGACGGATCATGATTGAAATCAATATGTGTCGGTTTTGTGATACATTGTACAAGTGCACACTGAATAACGGTGGATAAAAGATCGCTTTCGAAACCACTACCTGGAGCTGTAAGCTCTATCCAGTTGATATGTGGTGCGTTGAAGTCTCCAATGATGAGACAACATTCTGCCATACTCCAAGAACACATGTGTCTTAGGATAAAGTCGTCAACAAGACAAGACGGACTACGGTATATTCCCTCTATAGTCACTAACCCATTTCTATATTTAATCTTACAACATGCAACCTCACATGTGCCACTGATATGAGCCTCCGATATGGTTGATTGTGTACAAAAGTGATCCCTAACGTATAATATTATACTTCACCCTTTGCGACTTGAAACTCTATCACTTCTAATACAGATATAACCTGCAATGAACGGAGAACAGTCTATATCTACGGTGAATCAAGTTTCTGTAACAATGATTATATTGGGACATAATTCTTCCCCCATCAGACGTAGCTCGGACGTTTTATTTCTAAGACTACGAGCGTTCGTGTAGCACACACTTAAGGTGTTTTGGCAATCAATCGTTCTACCCATACAGGCCTCGGAAGCATTGTATTCCAAGACCAGACTACCCGAAAACCCTTAATGGTAAGGTTATTTTTGCCATTTAATTTGCGAGTCCTCAACTCCGTAAGAGCATTCTTCCACTTGATTCGATGCTCAAGTGGCCAATCTGGTGGAATACGGATATTTGAGTTACGAGTTTTTGGTGCGTTTTTCAATAATATGTCTCTTTCTTCGAAACTCCCGAGAACCAGCTCCAGGATTCTTCTTGGTTGGGTCTCGCCTCCAACCCATTTACCAAGTCGTATTACTTTTGTAATATGTACCACTGAAACCTCTTCAGGTAGTACATTTCTTACCACAGACTCCACCAACTGCAGGTCATATGTATGCCTTCTAGCATGGTCGTTATCTTTCGACTCCTCTAGATTCCAAATAATCAAACTAGGAAGGGGTTTAGCTTCCTTTGAAACTGTGTTAACAGCTTTCGACCGTGACGATAGATCCTGTATACTAACTACTGATATCTTACGATTAGCTTTTATTGTAACAGAGTCCTGTGAGTGACTCACAACAGTGTTAGGCGAAACTTAATTTGGAGCTTTGGCGGATTGGTCTGAGAGTTCACCGAGGACTTATCAAGTAAACAGTCATTAGTTTTAGCTGTTATTCGATTTTTCTTCTCAGTCACGCCAGGATGGGTTTCACTCTTACCATCAGATTTTGGCAGTGCAATTTGTGACTCACAATGAGGGTCCATCAGTGAGTTACTAACTACCTGTTTACTGCCCACAGCTTTTTTCTTTCGTTTCGTTTCCTACGTACCGTAGTCCATTTTTCATCCCTCAGGACATTGGGACTATTTGGAACGGTGATGGTTTTATCCAGTTCGTCGGTTTCTACTAAAGATTCATTGTTATCAATGTCAGTACCAGGTGGTATTACTCCCCTTGTTAATGTTAAAGAAGATTTCACTTTTGCGTCGGTCATAGTCGGTTGTTTGAGTCGTCGCGTAACAGCAGATACTACACTGACACATTCGTCACTATCAGTGCCGGTTTTGTTAGCGCATGTGTCATCGTTTTTCTTGCAGGCCAAAGCCAATAGGCCCCTAGCCTCCTTAACTAGCACCTTTTTATCCGTACAACAGAACATACAAAGCCAATGCGAGTTAGGCTTCGAGCATCTTTTGTATGCCATCGGACTTAGGCGTGTACACATTTAGTGGTACCACTTTTTACAGTCATCACACTGCATTCCCTCCTCAACGGGGAACAAACAATTTGATTGCCCACATTTGTGAGTCTTACCAACCATTGTAATTAGATTTAAAAGGTTTAAAAACACAAAATGATCACAAAGTGAACACAGATGTTAGTCAAGGAGTAAAAAATGGTACTCAGGATAAAATTTAGCAAAAAATTTCAAACTTTAACCAAAGTACTTTTAGTTAAAGTAGACCAAGAATGCTTTTTGGTGCAATAAGTACCCAGAGCAAGTATAATCACAACAAGTACAAAAATCACTGTCCTTTTTGAAACGAGCGCCTGATAAAATCTTCCCATTGCGGTTTAAAACTACAACTGATCAGTCCGTTATTGGCATATGTGCATACTGTGCGTATGCCTCGATATTGCCTTAATTCACAAGCTTTTTGTAAACAATGATGTATAGTGGTTAGCAGTGAAATTCAGGACTCGCGTTTCGTCCTATTTAGGACTCATTTTAATGAATAAATGAGTGATTCCATCAAGAACTTAAATGATCATTCTATAAAAGACATCTTATTATTGATTATAACAATAATTGATTACATATTGGAAACTATTGTCACATTTATTTAGCGCCTAATGTCTATTAAAAGTTCAATCATTAAATTACTACATGTAATCCATTGTTTGATTGAGTAGATACTACTTATTTTGTTAAACTAGTATATTCTACAATCACATATATAACATCATATGTAACATTAATGAAGTATTTATTTCAACCCATATTATTACAAAATTACAATTCTGAAATGTTAGCCTCTTTATTATGCTAATTATTATAATTAACATTTTATTGTAATGAATACAAAACAAACTTAGACTAATGAGATGTCATTTACAGAACACTTGAATTTGTAATAAAGTAAGCCTAATAAAAAAAGAAAACAAGCTGACATTATATAATTAGTGAAATAATAATTAAATTCCATACGAGTTGTTTTTCTTTTAATTAGCCAAAAGTTTGATTGTCACATTTTTGTTGTTGTTGTTGTTTTTATTTGTCACTAAGTTTATCATTATTAACGTTTACTGATTATCAATAGTATAAAAGCGGATAATCAAAATGATTAGTTTCACAAAATAATGTTTCATTCATTATTATTCAATATCATTGTGTTACATTTGATCATACTTGTTTCAATACAAGTTGGTAAGTTTTATAATACATTTAAATGATATTTACATAATTATACTATTTATGCCTTACTTACTTACTTACGCCTGTTACTCCTAATGGAGCATAGGCCTCCGACCATCATTCTCCAACCCACTCTATCCTGGGCTTTTTTTTCTAGTTCCATTCAATTCTTGTTTATTTTACTCATGTCTATCTCCATTTCACGGGGTGATGTGTTCTTTGGTCTTCCTCTTTTCCTTTGGCCTTGAGGATTCCATGTGAGGGCTTGTCTTGTGACGCAGTTGGGTGCTTTCCTCAATGTGTGTCCTATCCACTTCCAGCGCCTCTTGCTGATTTCTTCCTCCGCTAGGATCTGGATACTATTTATAAGGTGTATAATTAATATGATACTTGTTATGAGAGGATGGAGTTGATCAGATCAACTCCATGTTCTTATTGTTCTATCAAAATTTATAAAAAGGACTAATTGCTTTAGATACTTGTTCTATCTGATCGTTGTTGATTGTTGTGTCAGTGCTAAATGATGCCATGTTTTAGTAATTATTTATTTTCTGATCAAATTTCACTTATAGTAAATAGTTTCTCTAAAGATTAGAATGCTGAATTTTAGTCTACTCATTTAACCGATAGAATAGAAACTATGTTTTCAGTCAATAGATTCGTGTTAATGGATAACGGGTGAAAATGTTTGAGTTTTATAAAGGCAAAGCTCATTCCTTGTTCATGGAGTTGTTTAATGTTTCTTTTGAATCAAATTGAGTAGATGTGCAAATAGTTAATGTGTTTTTTTTAAGTTAAAAAATGATTCTTGTCAAGAGTAAATGGTTCATTTTGAAATGAAATTGAATGTATCATTATGATGATTAATTTCGGATATATATTGTCGAACGTATTGATGTATGGAAAATAACAGGTGGATATTAGTGAAGAGCATATGAACACAATTCCGCCTGTAGCTCTTCTAGAGTTACTGGCGGTCTCAACCCCAGATAAAAAGGGAGGGTTACGCATGGGGTCAATAACCGCATCCCATAGAAGTATTCTTGCTAAAAAAACGCTAACCAGATTCAGCAAATTAAACTATATGAACACGGTTAATAGTATTGAATACTTGGTAGTATTAGTACAATTTACATGTAACTATTTTTATAGTTTATTCGATGAACCTGAAAGTTCGCAATATACTACTTGATTAACATTATTTAAACCTGGGTTCTTCGTTGAAATCTCATAGAAAGTAAGATGAAAGTAAAGAATGGCTTTTTAAAATGTAACCATATACTCGAATTCAAATATTCATATTTTCAAATAAACTTATTTATGTTCAATTTATAGATGGTAAAAGACAGCAGCTATATAGTTTCGGAAATCCAGAGGTCTTTTTACGAAAGATAAGAGGTAATTAGATAATAGACTGATAGATGTGTTTAAACTTTATGTGGTCCCTGAGAGTGAATAGAATAAGATATATCAACAAAATCGTCATCACTAATACATAAAATTACATGATTAATGCACTTTTGAATCTGAATAGTGATAAAATGATTTTGTTCGTTTATTGACAGGTTATTAATAAATGTATTCTGAACAAATATATAACTATACTACTTAATCAATGAATTATGATTCTATAACTATCCCAATCATACCGTTTAGTCTTCATGTTCGACAACACTCTTAAATCAGCTGACTTATCGCTCTAAGGATTTGATTTGTATTCGACATGCAAACAGTCAAGTTGAATAAGTATATTGATGTGACGTTGTGGAGACAACTAAACGTGGAACGATACGTTAATCAAAATTCCTGACATTCAAAAACATTATGGAATGTATAGAGCAATGTAAATAGAGATAGAACAACTATTTTGTTATAATAAATATACATATATAGATTAGATAAATAGATTAGAACAAAAGAATACCCTAAGCCGATCACTTAACTGATATCATTTTAACATATACTCCACAAATATGTTTTTTATGTCAAATGAAGTGGGCTTAAAAGTAACTATCTAAACTGATACATTTTAATTAGAAGTAATTGATCAAGGTTTTAAAATGAACTAATATTTAATTTGCAGTTGACTTAGGCGAATCCGCATTGAGTCTCCATCATGCAGATTATCAAGTACAGCAAGAAATAGGTAATTTATTCATAAATTCATATATATAAATGATTTTTACTTGAGAAGCTGATTTCTATTAATAACACTTTAATTTTGTATCAAAAAAATGTACCCATCACAATAAGACACAAAGAATATCAATAGTGTTGTGATTTTGAACCCGGCTAATTATGACGTGATTTATTCCTCAATTGACGTGTATGAGCAGCCTAGTGTTCTTATTTGTTTTATGTTTTTGTTCGCCTAACCCATCTAATTGAGTCCAGAACGTCAATAACAGCTTCTACTATACGAATCATTTATTTCAAACATATATGGTTTATATACCAGCTAAACAAACCACAATACACCATGAAATAGGAAATAACATTTACACAAGATCAAGTCAAAATGTGGCTGTGAACATGGGAGACAGTAATTAATCAAATGAGTATAATTTAAGAACAGTAAATCTCAGCATAATAGTCTATGGGTCAAAATGAAGCTTATAATAAGAGGAATATAGATATACATAATCGAATTAATGAACAGTTATACAACAGGAATATATATATATATATATATATATATAATATTAGCTCATCAATGGTTCTCAGAAGTTACTCGTAATGTAATCTTCACTAGGATATAACAAGTAGAATAAACTACGAATTATTGTAGACAACAAAGTTTATCAGTAGATTGGACCTACTAGACAGATAGATTTTAAACAATTAAAAAATCATTCGTTTATTTCTGAAAAATAAATCTGAACTATTTCAAGCAGCTATTTAATGATTAGATCATGTCAATTTGATCAGTAGTTAATAGTAATTATTAATAGAATAGAATTGACTGCCAACTATTTATGTTTATCAAGAAAGTTTATTTCGGAAGTAGGTTTTTTTCGTCGATATTATATTAATTTTAATAATTGAGATCATGAGTCATTTGAAGCTAAATTTCGTGGATTAGTTGAAGTTAGACATTAACATCGTTGGATGCTGACTCAGTGGTCTAGAGATTAAACGTTCTCTTGCGAGATCGATAGATCCTGTATTTGAATCTCACGTGGCGGAATCATGAATACACACTGCTGAGGAGTCTCACAACAGGACGAGATGGCCATCCAGTACTTTCAGGTTTTTCATAATGGTCTAGCTACAATTGATTGATGATTTAAGTTTATTTGATAGTAGAAAAATAAACTTAAGTTATCCTGAATTCATTATGAAATAACACTGGTGTTATATATTTATCGGTTATAATATACTTTATATTATGTTAATTTTTAGCGATACTTCCACGAATATATTCAATTGATGAAAAAGTATTCACTAAATGTATGTGAAAATACAATAAACACTCTAATAATAATGATGAATTTTAGATATTAAATGCTTTGATTTATCAGCACTTTTAATTTATAAAACTGATTTTGGACAAGGTAAAAAGATGTTTTCAAAATATTGTTTTATCTTTAATTAAAAATAAGTGTACTACATTTTATCTATATTTCTATATAAATTCATTGTATACCTATCTTATAAGATCGTTTAACATTCCCAAATTCATTTTATGACCTAATACTATGAAGCATTATTGTCTGAGTTTTTGATGAAGATCATGAATCAATGAATGTTAGACTATTATTGAAAACCTGAAAATACTGGATGACTATGTGTTCCCAGTATGAAACGTTTTAGCAATGTGAATCCACAATCGTGTACATGAGAAGATAGTCGTGCAACATCATGGATTAACTTGAAGTTAGACATGAACATGGTCTGGAGGTTAAGCGTTTTCATGAGAGACCGAAGATCTTGAGTTCGAATCCTACATGCAGGATTGTAGTTAATTACTACAGAGTCGTCCCATACTAGGACGAAACAGTCGTTTATTGCTTTCACATTTTCAATGTTAGTTTAACATTCATCGATTCATGATCACAATAAAAAAAACACAACAATCTCCACAACCTAATACTAATTTGTATGTTATATTCCATGAGGTTATAATCTGTAATAAACTATACTTAATTAATATTATATATAAGTTTATTAAATTGGCAAGTCTCAAATGACTAGATAAACATATATTTACATAATCTAAGTATCAATTACGTAGAATTTATGATTCTATAAGTGAATTTTTTGTTTGTGTGAAATTGTATTACTATTTTCAATTAAAATATTTTAGGTTTGGATAAATTAGTTGGTTCAGTGATGAACAGACGCGGTATGTGTTTCAATTAGCTAATAAATATGTATTATTGAAAGATATACAATTTTTTTTGAACAATATTTATAATCTTTATATGCAGTGATAGATAATGGCTAGCAATAGAATCTAGGATGCATGTTTCATCCTATTTGGGACTCGTCAATTGAATATACCTGCATCTTAGAGTTGATGTTTACTCTGTGACTTGAACTCAGTACCGTTGACTTCAAATATCATTGTGTTATCCATTTAGCTACTGAGTCCTGATAGTCACTTACTTGTGTAATAGGGGTGATACAAGCAAACAAAACCAAGTGAACTTAGTATTTATAATCTATTGAAAATTCATCATTAATTAAACAATTAAACAATGTTGAATAAAAATTTTTTTTGATTTATATATTTAGTGTATTTAATTGAGAAAGAATGTTATTTATATCAATTTTTATGATGGTTTAAGATTGAACAATCTATTTATTCATTGATTATACTCAATATAGAAGCAAACGTCGCAAAATCTTCAAGTCGCTATAAATGTTTGCAAAAGGAACTAAAAAAATCCAAAAGTAAGAGTAAATATTCAAAAACTACATGGTTAAATGTTTTAATTCTATTTATCATTTGATTTTTTTTTTAAAACTTATCAGTATAGGGGTTATGGAGATAAGTAGGTTTTTGATTGAGATCATGAACCGATTAATATTAGACCACCAGTGAAAACCTGGAAACATTTGACGGCCGTTTTTTCCTATTGTGGAACTCCTCGTCAGTGCGCATCCACGATCCCGCCAAGCAGAATTCGTACCCAGAGCCTCCAGTCTCGCCCACGAACGTTTAACCTACTAGGCCACTGAGCCGGCATCCAATAGTGTTAATCTCTGACCTCGAACCTGGGTTCAAATCTTGCAAGGCGGGATAGTGGATGCGCACGACTGAGGAGTACCACAATAGGACGAAACAGTCTTCCAGCCCTCCCAGGTTTTTGATGGTGGTCTAACATCGACCGGTTCATGCTCTCAATTAAAAACAAACTTACTAATTTGCATAATCTAATGTTTTCATGTTATTCAAATAACAAGGATTTCAACTTCTTGTTAATCTACCTAACTAAAATATTATATAATTCTTAGACGAACATTACTAGTGTTAGTTGAATAAACAAATGTCTCGTATATTCTAAGTCTTAAAAGTCATCCTTATTTCGAAATTCGTAATAGTAATTGTATTCAGTTGGAATGGATTGTTAACAAATGGCAAAATGGGAATTTTCACTATAATTTACAATTATTGACTGCGGGATAGTTATGTTTTTTTGATTAGCCTTAGCTGCAAGACATAACATCATAATGTCTTAAAAGAGCTGAATCTACTGACTATTTGTCACTTTCCAAAGCATACATATAATTTTCTTGATTGAATGATAAAATCGTTCCCATTTTGTCTTACCTGGTAACAAAATTCATTATTATAAGCAATTACGACATCTGTGGTTACATCTTATTCTCATTTAAAAATTTTGTGTTTATATTTACATGAATGGTAGTTGAGTTTGATTGTCCGTTATCCATAACAATCTGTTTTCTAAACAAATTTTGAATAGCTTATGAAAAGCAGCTTACTTTATAAATTTTTGCAATTATATAGAAAAGGCGGCTAAGCGCAGCGGAATGGAATGTAAAATCCCTGAAGGACTTCAATACAATGGTAAGCTGAAATGAACCACCCATTTAATTATTATACAAGTGGCAATTGTAGGTGAATATTGAAGCTGTTTTTCAAGAGTCTTTCTTCAAGTACTGACTAAACAATACGGCTCAAAGAACTAAACAACACCGAAATCATTTACATAGTAATTCTAAATAGATAATAATTCACTTAAACAGACGTTTCATTAAATGAAACCAACATTAAATATTTTATCGGGACTGAGATACTACTACCGGTCTAATGACGATAGAGCTTGACTGGAATGAAATATAACTTTCTGGATTAATCTGGATCACTGTATTTTGACTGACCTCATTATGTAACTACATTGACTTCAATGGCATGATATTTTTAGAGTCTGATGCGAAATATTTCTAAGATACTTATTCATCAGACACACATCTTAGCAAACAAATCATATTGAAGTAAGATTAACAAATTGGTGAAACATGAATGTTGGCTAATAACCAAATCACAGAATGAATTCGATACTCAGTTTATATATCTATTCATTGAGTACAATGAATAAATACGAAAGCTTATGTGACGATATACAAAAATATACGGAAAATGACATTATAAAAAGCACAATCAAGTTAGAGGATTGATAAGGACACATATTACATGGTCACCAAATAAGAGTTATTTGTGATAGGATTTATTTAATATCCAATTTACTCAAAATAATAACAAGTTCATAGATGGGCATAATCAAATAATATGCTTGTAATAGTTTGTTATTTCACAAATCATACTGGTAACTTGTTCATAACAATAATGAACTATTATCAGAATTGGTTTTGTAGAGATTTTTAGAAATTTCACTTGTTGGAATCATGAGTCAATTGAAGCTAGACCACCATGGAAAACCTGGAAGCACTGGACTGCCGTTTCGTCCTGGTATAGGACTCCTCAGCAGTGCGCATCCACGATCCCGCACCCTAGAAGATTCGAACACAGGACCTACTGGCTTCGCGCGCGAGCACTTAACCATGAGACCACTGAGCCGGCATCCAACGATGCGCACTGCTGAGGAGTCCCATACCAGGACGAAACGGCCGTCCAGCGCTTCCAGATTTTCCATGGTGGTCTAGCTTCAATTGACTCATGATTTCAACCAGTGAAATAATGAACTAATTAACTAACAACAATATCATCTAAGTATTTGTGTACAGTTTCGATAGCATACACATATGTACATGATTAGTTTTAATCTGTTTCATGAATTTAGACTTATGAATAAAGGATGGATTACAAATGTAAATATGAATACACTCTCAATATTTTCATATGTTTCAGACATGAAAACTTTAATTGAGTTGAGTAGAAATAAATACAAAATTATCAACAGTTACAACGAAAATTTGTGTAAGTAATAGTCAACAAAACTTTATTTGATAAAATAAATATTCTTTATTGAATAATATATTCACTAAACTTAAAACAGTATACGAATGTTTATGCAAATTTCATATTGTAATACTTAATGTACATCTTGGACTAAATGAAATAAAAGAATGTACTATTCACTAATATATTAAGTAACATTGGAGTGACCAGTGGAGTTCAGTCGGGTCAGTTGTGATATAGTAACTCACTGAAGACAATGGTGAATGTGTCGCTCAATTTCGTGGATTAGTTGAAGTTAGACATTAACACCGTTAGATGCCCATCAGCTCAATGGTCTAGTGATTAAGTGCTCATGCGCGAGACCAGTAGGTTCTGGGTTCGAATCCCGCGAGGCGGGATCGTGGATGCGTACTGCTGAGAGGTCCCACGATAGGACGAAACGGCCGTCCAGTGTTTCCAGGTTTTCCTTGGTGGTCTACTAACTTTAACATAAAAAGGTTTCATAAAGTTAACTGATGAGTTTACATTATTTGTTATACCTTACAATGATTAACTCAGTGTTTATTCGCAAACATTTCAGTTAAATACGGACTTATATTAGATTTTGTCAACAAAGCCAAACCGAGTAAGTTAATTTCATATCGATTTCATATTGACTAATTAAGCATTTATAAAAATGATGAAAAAATTCAATGATAGTTTCGAGGAATCTAGGTGTATAAAAAAAAGAATGTAAAATGGTAATTGTACAGCATTAGACTTCAATGTAAACCAAGGAGATTTAAATTATTGTATTTGGTTTCCTCTCGGTTGAGCGATTAAAACTGTAGATAATAGGTTCACATCTCATTATAAGCATCAACAGTGTGAAGTAAATATATTTAAATAACGCGACATAAGAAAACAAAACTCGCTTCCTGGATCACACTATTAGCCGCAATCTAAACGATAGAATATTCCTTGATAATTATCAGTCGTATAACAGGTATACAAGTGCATTCTTTTGACTTCATTCACAGAAAATAACAAGCATTTCTTAACTGTGATCACTTTGCATGATTTTACTAAAATCCATGATTTTGTTTATTATAGATAATGCATGAAAGTGATCAAAGTCACGTTTTCTTATGATGAGAATTAGTATAAATTCCATAATTTATATCATTCGAAAACGTTTCAATAAATGGTTTTAATGGAATTTCGTCAATTTCATTTTCCTTGCTGTTAAACTTGATTTACAGTTTTAGTGGCTTTAGGCCTGACTCCAGTTAGATAATGTGAATGATTGTTATTGAAACATACATTTCGCCAATCCTTGCATATAATTAACGACTTAACTGGCGTTAGTGAATAACGCAATTAAATAAGTCAAATACGAGAATGAATTTCGAATACGTTTATTTCACACAATCGTTGAGTCAGAAAAACGGTCGGAGGAACTAAGTGAGGAAATCGCAGAGAGGAGAGTGAAGCGAAACAACGCGCAGTGGAGAGAGCATGTAAGCCAACTCAATTTAATCAGACAAAAATCAGTTACAGCCGAGTGATGAGCGTATATAAAAACAGTCAAGGTTATTAAGCGACTGATTGACAAGGTCGAAATAGGACTCAAGAAAAATGAATAAATCGGTTTGTCCAGAAGCCAGAATAAGCTATATGGGCTTAATATAGCAATCGACAATACATAGTAATTGAAGGCAAGGTACACTGAAAACATTGCATACGAATCAATTTTCGAATTGTTGACGATTTGTCACCATTGAAATCTCACTCCTTAACTCGCTTCAATCCTTAGCCATATTTGTTAGCGTCTCAAGTCATAATCGATTGAAGTTGAATCCGTAAGTCGTGATTCACCAACGGCTATCAGCCATATACTGTTATCCTTAGTGTCACAGAGCCATATCACAAACTCACCATGTTGAGATTTCACTAAGTAACAGAGTCGCCAAGTAATACGCGATTTGTAATCAGATGTTTGAAAGTGGTGACATCATTCCAACTATCGCCACTCATCCATAACACGCATTGATACAACTTAGAATTACTAATATGTGAGCGAAACCTCAAAGATAATAATGATCCTACACAGAATTTCGCACAATACCCTCAGTTGTCATGTAGGCTGGTATAACTAACTGTACATTTCACTTTATTAGGGTTTGTGGGGGTAATTAACATAGGCTTATTTTGTAATTAGTCTGTTATTATTCACTTTCTTAAAAATTCCGATTAATAAAAAAAATCCACCACAAAATAAGTCCGTGTTAACTATCCTCATAGGTTCGTCTTATTTACCATGTTACCATCATCGTTCACACAACTATACAGACACACGAATTATTCGACTATTCGAGGAGTTCATTACAAGTACTGAGTGCAAACATGTTTTTCTGTCAGTGTTGCGGAAGAATCCCGAGTTTGTTTTGAGATGAAATATGGTCAATGCTTTTACTACTAGAATGAATACCGTCTAAGTCACCACAACCCAATCTTTCACCAGTTTTTTCTCAACCTGAATAGCATAACGTTGGTAAACAGTTTGAGAATAATCACAAATAGTCTTGTTTAATGATATTTGACCCACAGATGAATTACGATCACAGCAATGATAAGGACGATAATCACAACGTTAGAAGATATCGAACAATAAACGAAATAGAGGACTGAGGAAGTGAAAACCAGAACAACAACAACCAGCTCACAGAGATGAAAGGGATGGGTGAATACCAGGTTACATCTACAAAACGCAAAGTTACAAATCAGGCACAATTAAGCAAAGTGTTTCTTTGTTACCTCCTCTTTAGACTCACTGAGTTATACATTAGTCAATATGGCAATACAATAAACAGTATATTAGAAGATATTGGTGAAGATTATAACTGAATTATTCAATGTTATAAATCCTCAAAAATAGTGATGTTCATGTCTACTGCCTTGAATGCTGAAATAATGTGTCCATTGTTGTATTTGAAGTTTAAACATTAAAGAGTAAGTTAAGTAAGCAGTGGAGATCTTTGGTCTATAAAATGCGAGTAATCGATAAACGTGATGATACTGATCAAAATATATCGTGGTTATTGTGGCAAGAATAATAATAACAATCCATTAGAATGATAAGTGTCAAATAAGCGCTCATCGGAGGTGGACTGGGATAACGCTAAAATTTGATTATGTTACACGACGAATTAACACGTTCTCTGACGTAGAATGACACTTTGACACTATCAAGATATGTTCTGCGTCTCATACAATGATATAAAACGAAACACAACAGATAATTTTGCAAAATACAGATTTACTCGCGTCATAAACGTTTTAGGATAGCCGGAAAGTTCGACATTCGGATTTTGTGTCGACATCCAATATACAAGTGTGAATTTTTGTTCCCGTAACTCACAAAAAAGCATCCAAACGTGTGTAAACACAGTCAAGTCCAAGTGAAAATATCCACCACAGCGCAAACACATACATACGAAAGCAAAAACAACAGAAAAATAAAAAGTAGACCGACAGAAGCATATTCCGAAAAGATTTAATCTGAAAACCCATTATTTGTAAGGTAGCTAAACAATTCCTGAAAATGTGTAGTAATATCATACAAGAAAAACATGACGAACTGAAATTAATCCTACTAAACAATGAAAATTATGTTGGCCATGTCCGCTGCAACTTAATCATCTGATCGTACTATCTTCAACTGACACAGTCAGTCACGTGAAATTCATTGTGCCTGTTGGTATGATCCAGAAAATTTCTCGCAAAAGACAAGAAAGGATCAGGAAAACACTAAGAAGCATTTTATCCAATCAGCGTTCACTAGAAGTTTAGCCGGAAACATCAAGAAAGTGAAAAGTCACATGTAGAGTTTCTGATTGTTTGATTACTATACTGCTACTATGTTTAGTAGCATTTCAGAATTTTCGGGAAACCTGAGGACTTTAAAGCAATTAGTCCCTTTTATAAATTTCGATAGAACAATGAGAAGACGGAGGTGATCTGAAAAATGTGATGTATTTGCGCTATACATTTCGAACAATCTGGTAGGAGGTAGAAAACCAAGTTCATCGATAGTGAAACATAATTGAGACGAGGCTCAAAATTAACATTAATACAGCATTTAGAACGTTCTATAGGAATCGTCAAGGACGAATTTTTAAGTTTGTTGAAGCCTTGGCTATTCGTAAATTTAAGCCCCCCCTTTATGTGTACAAAAGCAATTTGTCGTAACCTTGAATTTACATTGGTAATCCTTAAGTCATTCTATGACCTAGGTTAACGCGGCAATTTCTTATTCTCTCTCCTTTTAGTTATTTTAATTGAACCTTTTTGTCTGACCTTCAGTATTTTCATATAAAAATACCATGACAAGTATATGTGTGAACAGATTGCTCGAAATGTATGGCAAAACCCAATCAACAAAGGAAATCAGAAGAGACTCACCAGGGTTCAGAGATTGTGTATAATCATCGTGCCACATGGGTACCGAAGCCACTAATATCTAGGAGTTGAACCATAAACTTTCAGACTATCCTCCCATACGAAATAATGTTGGATCTTCATATTCCCAAGTTATGAATGACGTGGCTTCATTTAAAACATATTTCTCACATTGACTAGAGTAAACATTAGAAGTGACTTTGCGATAAGGATAAACAGCAGTTGACATGGAATCATCGGGATTGTAATCAAACTCTAGCTCATTTAGTACTTGTGCATCTCATTGAACAAATTTCCCACAAGCAACAAATGCATTATGAGCATTAGTAAAGAAACCATATCTGGTACAATAACATTAGAAATCTGATAAGTTGACTGATTAGAAACTGTTGTCTTGCAAGGATTCTGAGTTCCGTTTAACTCTGAACTGCTATATGAATCTACACTATCTATTGCAATCGTTGGTGAGAATAAATCATCATTATAAATACTCGACTTAATAGAATCAGAAGTAAAAGACGTAATATTAGTTGCAGCAAGATGAACAGTGATATTACAGACTGACTCAATTTGTCCATGAATCATT